GATATATGATCAAGAGTATGGATGAGGAAATGAATACTTCAGCAGGTGGTAAATCTACAGGCTCTGGGAGCCCTGATAAGCATTCTGCCAAAGATTTACCAATTCTGATTAATCAGTATTCTGACTTTCGGACAGCAGCTGGCATAAAGCAAGGCCATATAATTCATGTATGGTATGAAAATAAAAAACAAATTAAAAAGGCAGTGCAAGTTTTGGAAGATATAATACCAGCATCAAGTAACAGTCATCAACTTTATAATAAAATCAACAGATTATGTGTGAAGTTTAGATCTCTTAAGCCACAAGCACAATGGGATAAAATTATAAATTTTATGGAAATGCCATTTCAAGAGCCTGTACCTAAAGAAAAGGGGATTGTCTCTAAGTTAGCACCTGAATTAATAACAACACTAATCCCCCCAAAACAAGCCTCACCTTTAAAACTTAAACAAGACTGTGTAAGTTGTGCATACAAAAGAAAGTCTACAGAACAGTTATTGAAATCAAATAAAAAATTGAAAACTAGTTTAAAATTCTATCAAAATGAACTTCAATCAAATAAAGTTTTTCAAATTAAAGATCTAAATAAAAAAATTAAATGACTCACTGACAGACTCCTCAAACAAGAGAAAAAGAATAGACAGTTGGAAGCAGAGAAAGTAGAGATTAAAAAAAAACTTAACTGCAATCCGTTTGCAGATTCCATCCAATACAAAATGAAACTGAATCAAGTTGCCAGTTTAAAGAAAAAATTATCAAGAAGAGAAAGAAAAATTGAAGCACTAGAAAATGTGGTCAAGATCAAAAACAAAACCATCAAAAATTTAAAATCAATGGTCAATGATTTAGAATTAATGTATGATAATGCCATCAACATGCAAGAACCCCAAGAAGAGGGACAAACTATTGTAACCAAAGAAGGAAAGCATTATGGTACTTCTATGAGAATTTGTATGTACCAATCTTTGTTGAAAAATGTTTCTGTGTCAGCTGCTGGACAGCTATTACAGTTTTTCCTGGAGCAGGAAGCTGGAATGAAACTTGACTGCGTGCCTCGCAAATCTACAGTGGCTCAAATGGCTTATGAAATAGGCATTTTAGCTGATCTGCAGGTTGGCGAGGCACTTGCATCCCTTGATGGTGCTACACTGTCATGGGATGCAACCACCATTGATGGTAGTCATGTAAATGAAATCCATATTTCTGCTGCAGGTAAAACTCTTGCTGTTGATGTAAAACCTTTACCTGGTGGTAAAGCTGTAGATTACATAGAACATATTAGTGTTAAGTTAAAAGATATTGTAAACATATATTGTAAATACATAAATCATCCAAATTTAGAGCAGCTGTACAAAACTCTTATATCCACCATTAAATCCACTGTGACAGATAGGGCAGCTGTGAATCATAGTGTTGTAAACCAGCTGAATACTTTGTTACAGACACACCTGCTGGAATTGAATTGCAATGTTCATCCGCTAGATAGTTTTGCTGCTGGTGCCAGAAGAGCATTGGAAAATGATACTGAGATAGGCAACAAGACATTGCACTGTACTTTGAGTATTTCCAAGCTCAGATACAAGCAATCCAGTGGAGACCCTAGCGGGTTCAAGACCTATTTTAGAGAAAAAAATATTCCAGTGGGAGTTTTCCTTTGGTACGTCGGTAACCGGTTGCACATTTTATTCCATTCAGCTGGAATTATAATTTTATATCTGAAAGAGCTGAAGAAATTTGTTGAATTAGGAGGCACCAACCTTAAAAAAAGCATTAAGGAAGAGCTGGATGACCCTAGGGTTGTTGCTCAATTAATTGCACTCGGGTTAATCGGAAAAACAGTCACAGGGCCATGGATGACTAAATTCTATGCAAATTCAATGAATTTAGACATGGTCCCTGTGATACAAAGCTCTAAAAATGTTTTGGACAGGTTTGCTGCTGAGCCAGAAGAGTTGTTATGTCCCACTGTGAATGTTTTTAATGAACCCATTGATGCAGCTTCAGACATGGTGCTGACAGCAATCATCAACAATATTGAATCCCACAGGGATAAAGTAAAGCAAACTTTGAAGCAAATATTACATGAAATTGTTAAGGTCTTTGACCGCCAGTTTGTTCGATATACCAGTGGCGACCTTTCTAGCCCTACAGTTGAGCAGTTGACACAAGCTTAAACTGCTCCTTCACACAACATGGCAGCTGAGAGAATATTAGGAATGACTGACTATTTATGGCGTCGGGCTCCTAATGCGACAGCTGGTTTTGTAGACGGAAAGGTGAGAGGACGGACAAATGATACTGTAGGATGGCTTCTGCAACAGGACAAAATGACCCAACATAGATTAGTTTATTTTGCAATGAAAGAGGGGTACAGAGCAAGGGAACTTGCAGCACAAAGGAAGAAGATGATGGAAGCAGTGATGATGCGTCGAATGCTAGAAGCTGGTCAGAAACATGAACAATCCAACCGTAAGGCTCTAGAAAAAGAGGTTGCTATGGCTTTGAGTGCTAAAGATCTGAATGCTAGTGTGTTTTCATCTGCGTCATCTGAAGTTATGGGGCTCATTGCAATGTATATTACTTCAGAAAATCCTATGTCTGAACTGACTGAAACCTATACAGGACATCTACTTAAGCATTTATGGACAGAGGAAGGAGTTGATAAAATGTATTCTGGCAGAGTGGTAAATTTTAAGCAACAGAAGACTAAGACAATGAAATGTACAATTACTTACTGGGGACCTGATGAATTGGAAACTGACAGTGTTGACTATGACATGACAATGACATCTCTAGTCACTGATTTACTGACAGGTGACCTTGTGTTTAGTAGCTAGGATGACAGTAGTAGTCCATGTTGTACAAAGCTTAACTTGGTATAAGTCTCACCTGTTATTGTATTGATGTAAGCTATGTCTACCTTAAAAGTTTATTGTTTTGATGTATATATTAAGGGGATATGCGCGGAAAAAAATCACAAAATTTCTTGTTTTTTGTCATGATGGGTTTCTTGCACTTTTGGATACTTTGTCCATTTTTGTATATAGAAAATAATAACTTTAAAGAAAAAAAAATATTTTATGTGTTTGAATTACGATTTTTATGACCCTATTAATAAAAAATTATCAATTTTTCCCAATCTTACAAGCTCTCTATGAAAAGTTTTATATCCGTCATTATATTGTATTTGACATCATTGGAAAGCTGGATTCCTCGTGTATTTAATAAACTTAATTTCCTACATCTCGGAAACACCCAAAGCTTACAATCGGCTTTGCAGTTTACGCAGATATGGTACTTACCTGACCTAGTTTTCGTTACTTTTTGCGGTTTTTCTCAGTTCGCAGGTATTTAACACTAAAAAGCCTACTACTTTTTTATTTATTAAACAATACCAACCATATTTTCAGTAAACGTTCTTGATGCAAAAATACAACTTTTGTCACGAGGGAATTGTGATTGCTTTCATAGAAAAAAAGTATTTGGTAATTAATATGCACATTTTGAAGCTTTTGAATGGGTACGATATTTTAGACCTTGTAAAATTCTTACTAGTAATTATTTCAAAAAGTTGTCGTGACAAAAGTTTTAATATATACTGAAATATAAGCAGTTTAAATTTGATTGCTATAGATGCATAAATAAAAAAGCCTTAGCATTTTTAAAAGTACCGAAAAATTCAAAATGGCGGAGGTTTTTTGATTTCCATGACAACCAAAATTGTTTTCGACCTTTTTTTTTTTGCTGTTCAGTACTTACTTTTATATGCCAAATATGATTAAAGTATTCAAAAGGCTTTAGATCTTAAACTGTAAAAAATAGAAAAAAACATAGCATATCCCCTTAACTTTGCTTTTTGTTTAATTGTGTAAATTTAATTATTTATTGAGAATCATTTAATATAAAACATTTATCCTAATAAGATAATAGTCAGAGATGAGTTGTTTTTTTACTTGCAATGTTATTAATTTGGTGCAGGCTTCCTGAAATGTTATTTAAGTTATTCTACTTGTTGTGTTGCTAATAATAATAGTTTTTAAAGACAACCATTCAGTAAATAAAACTCCTGGCTTGCCAGTGTGCCTAAGATAAATTGTTCGGTTTAATTTATTAAAAACAAATTAGTGCCTACTACCTTTTTATTCAATTTGTTCTGCTACTGGCAAGTCTATTAATAATTAAATTAATAAATGTAATTCAAACATGCTGAAGTAAGATCATGCAGAGTTTTAACATTGTACCTTGAAAAACAACTGAGCAGTGCAACTTAGAAATTAGGGCCCATAATAGTCAAAATGTATCCCTTAAAGGAATGCTAATTATTCTGCTCCCAGTGAATGAATTAATGATTTCAATTAATATATGTAATTCAAACATGCTGAAGTAAGATCCTGCAAAGTTTAAACATTGTAGTTTTAAAAACAACTGAGCAGTGCAACTTAGAAATTAGGGCCCATAATAGCCGTAATGTATCCCTTAAAGGAATGCTAATTATTCTGCTCCCAGTGAATGACTTAATGATTTCAATTAATATATGTTATTCTAACATGCTGAAGTAAGATCCTGCAAAGTTTTAACATTGTATCTTTAAAAATAACTGAGCAGTGCTATTTCAAAGTTAGGGGACAGTGATTTTCATGACTTACAAAGAAATATAGTGGACATTCACCAATTACGTAAAAAATTCATTAAAAAAAAACTACTGAAGCTAGAAAGAAAAAATTTTCAGTGTTATTCTAGTTACATCAAGCACAATATTTTTGCAATGCTCATACATTTAATTAGCCAATTTTAATTTTTTTAATGGAATGCCTATATAATTAATAATTAAATTTATCAATATAGATCTATCTATCTAGATCTAGACATCTATAATTCTAGATCTATATATTTTATCATCATGACTCATCAAAATTAAAAAAGAGGGTGAGAATGAAAAACTTAAAAGTAGACTGTTGGATCTTGTCTGCTTGTTTTTTGTGAAAATAGAATTTACAAACCTGAACATCGTACTTTTTTCTTGCTTGCATGACACGAAAACCTAAATAATTCAATACACCCCAGCTTCCAGCGACAACCAAAGCACAGTAGCCATAATCGGGTGGAAGTTGGTAGCCTGACATTGTACCGGGATAATCTAACTACGCTTACAACAGATTTCCAAAATATTGCTTAGGCCTATGACCTTTGCAACTTTTTTTGTGATGAACTTGCCAGATCAAAAGATTAAATGGTTGCCAAATTTAAAAGGCCTAGATCTATATGCTTTTAACTGCATTATTTTATTTATTTTCTCAAACAATACATAACTTCTATAACTATAAATAATAGATATATACTTTATCTAGATTTAGTTCAGTTGGTCATGTGACCCTTGTCTAATAAAATTACAAAAACCTGACACAAAATAAAAAAAAGTTTTTTTTTATATTATTTTGCAGCAGGTTATTTGATTCTTAGATTTTGTTATACCCTAACAAAGTTTAAATTGCTGTTTCAATTAATTATCAAAGTTTTAAAACTGTTACAGGCGTATATATTGGGCATAGGGGCCATCCTCAAATGACGTCACGCTTTTTTGACGATTTTTACCTCTGAAATGTCAAAATATAGTATTTCAATCAATTCCTTTAACAATTTATTAAAAACCGTTTTCTAAAACGCGAAATAACGTCTGAAATTCGTTTTCTAACATTGCTTTTTTTATAATCCAAAAGTGTGACGTAGCACCATCTGACCCCCCCCCCACTCATAACACACCGTCACAAACTTACTGACCCACCCCCCTTACGAGTGTGACGTCATTTATGGACGACCCCCATAATAGACATGTAGCACTTATTTTTAAAAAAAATTTGCAGAATGAAAATTTTCTTTTTTCAAATTTGCACACAGCCTAGCTTATTTTTCAGGATCCAAAAAAATGTATAGTTAGTTGTTTATAAGTATATAAGGCCTACCTAATAGATTTGATTTCCCAGAGTGCAAAATGATAACTAATTGCTATTTTCAACAACAGAAGAGAAAAAAAAATTCATAAAAAACGTTTTAATAACAAGCTTTTATGTAATGATGCACTAAAAAGTAGAAAATAAATTATAGACTACTATTTAAATAACTATCAAGAAAAGCGTGGGTCACTTTAGTATCTATTGGATACCTTTACTAATGTTAAGGAAGACACCCACGCTTTTCTTTATAGTTATTTAAATAGTAGTCTATAATTTATTTTCTACTTTTTAGTGCATCATTACATAAAAGCTTGTTATTAAAACGTTTTTTATGAATTTTTTTTTCAGTACTTTACATGTTTTATCTACAATAGAGTTACATGACTAAAAACCATTGCGCGCCTACTGAATATCACGTTCAGTAGGCGCGCAATGGTTTTTGAACGCAGCCATTACGTGGTCGTGATGGCGCAGCTATTGATGACGCGTGTGGTGTGGTTGGCTAGACATGCCTACTAATTCGGTCCAAATTTTAATTAATTCATAAAAAATCAATTAGGCATCCAATTAAGTCAAATTTAGTTTCAGATTGCATTGTCTTCATGTCTTGACCCACGTGCCAAATGTGAATCGTATCGGTCAAGTAGAACTGTCCGAATTTTCACTCCTGCGTTTCCGTCTAGACTGACGACTGACGACTTACGACAGACAGAGGAAGTGAGTTAAAAAAAAAATTCATAAAAAACGTTTTAATAACAAGCTTTTATGTAATGATGCACTAAAAAGTAGAAAATAAATTATAGACTACTATTTAAATAACTATAAAGAAAAGCGTGGGTCACTTTAGTATCTATTGGATACCTTTACTAATGTTAAGGAAGACACCCACGCTTTTCTTTATAGTTATTTAAATAGTAGTCTATAATTTATTTTCTACTTTTTAGTGCATCATTACATAAAAGCTTGTTATTAAAACGTTTTTTATTAATTTTTTTTTCAGTACTTTACATGTTTTATTTATAATAGAGTTACATGACTAAAAACCATTGCGCGCCTACTGAACAACTGAACATCACGTTCAGTAGGCGCGCAATGGTTTTTGAACGCAGCTATTACGTGATGGCGCGGCTATTGAATGAAGGTGATGACGCGTGTGGTGTGGTTGGCTAGACATGCCTACTAATTCGGTCCAAATTTTAATTAATTCATAAAAAATTAATTAGGCATCCAATTAAGTCAAATTTAGTTTCAGATTGCATTGTCTTCATGTCTTGACCCACGTGCCAACTGTGAATCGTATCGGTCAAGTAGAACTGTCCGAATTTTCACTCCTGCGTTTCCGTCTGGACTGACGACAGAGGAAGTGAGTTAAATAAAAGCTTGTAATAAAAGCTTGTAATTAAAGGCTTTTTTAGTAAGTAACAGCACTATTATTAAAACATCTTGGCTCAGCTGAGAAACTAGATGATGGTTCAATTTCCTATCAAAAACTTCACCTAATTTTTACCTGTTCAGTTATCAACATGTTGTATTCAGGGTATCACCTCAGTATTTGCAGAAATGGATGTGTTAATAGTTTGTTACTAGCCAGACGCTGTATTGTGATCATAAAAATAATTGCCTACTCATGGTAAAACCAGTGTTTCTTTTAGGCATTCTTTAGGGAAGGGGGGGGGGGAGGTGAGAGCATTTCCACACCCTCACCCTGAATAAATTAGAAAAAAAAAGATGTCTACCCCTAGAAATTTAAGTCTGCCTCCCCCCACGTCTAAAAGACTGCAAGAAACATTGAGTACATCACACACTCCTCAAAAGTTCACCTCTTGTTCCAGTTGAAAGTTTATCTTTCATATAATGCCTCTGCAAATACTCTTTCTTAAAATACTGCAAAAATAACGTCATCTTTCACTTAATCAATGGGTCTTGATAGCAGCCATTATTCAGCGAGTTTTAGAAAAGTAATTTGCATATTGATACAGGCTTACAGTTTACAATTTGTTTTACAGTGATTCTTTAGACTGATTAAATCTTAAGCCTGTGTACAAAAGTAAATGACAACCACCAGTGGTATTCTTGGCTGAAGTTCAATCTTAATGAAGATGAGTGCAGAGTCAAAATTTGAATAAGATCCTCTAATTTTCATAATTATTATACATCACATTTTCATGGTTTTCAGTTGAGTAAAAAATAAGTCATAAAGAGCTAGCCATATAAATAATTGTTGGGATTTCTAATAAGTGTATAATATTGTTAACATTTGATTGTATATTAACAAAAAGAAAATGTATATCTGTTCTAAAATAAAAAATACCAAGCTAATTTATCTGGAATTTTTTTAATTCAAAAATATAACCTTAAAACAACAGATGTCAATATGAAATTTTGAAAACAAATACTGAGCAAAAATACTAATGAAATATTATAAAAACAATATAAAAGACAAATTATTTGAAGTTAACATTTTACTATTTGCCTTTGTTATGAGGTTTATTAACAAAACACATATAGTTAATTTACTAATACATTTTCATGAAAAGAAAAAGTGAAAAAGCCACTCATCACAAGCATGTGAACTAGTTATATTAATAGAATAGAATGATTATATAATACATAAATGATTTTAGTTTCATATAAATTGATGCTATTTTGATTTGTAATGTTACAACTGTTCAACTACATTTAATACTTTCAACTTTCAGTGTTTAAAAATGGCTTAATTATTATTCTTTGAACTTATAAAACTTTTATGGTTTATACCCTGACAGAAATTTGTGTTTGATTTATTCTGTAATTGTTTTCTTTTCTAGAGTAACAAAAAAAAACTTGAGTTAAACAAAGCTACCATGACAAAAAAGGAACAGTGCAGCAAATAATATCTTCAAACAAGCACATATAAAATGTTAAAAGTTTTTAAAATATGTGCAAGTACATACCCAATATTAAAAATACAAGCACATTGTATAGGTTTTTAGTTTTACCATACACAACCCTTTGAATTACACAAATTACCCTTACTAATGTGACATAAAGCACCTCATATATCAATGTTTATCTACTCTATATTTTGATATAATACATTTAATAAACATAGGATTACAGCAAATAATTATAATTTTATAAAAGTATTCTAGTAAAAAGACAAATTATTATTGTAATGTTCACTTGAGGAAAAAGTGTTAATTCCATTAAAAATAATTCTAGGATTATTGATAATCTATTCAGTTTTGCTTGATGTTTGTTTTCTTTTTAAAGCCTTGGATCTTGCTGTGAGGAAAGCTGCCTTTACAAAGTATATGGGTACCCAAGGCATAAAGATGTCTTGTATTTCATGAGCCCAGTAACCTGTAGTGTGTGTCAGAATACCCACTGTGTTCAGTGCATTCTTAACAAAAGTGGTTGGCGAGGGCACAAACAATGAAGGATAGCGAAATTTGCTAAGCTTGCTCACAACAAAATATGGAACAATACACTGAAAAGTGATGCCTTTACTACCGTATTCATGTTGTAGAGCATTGCTAAATGTTGAAACAAAAGCCTTGGTGGCTGAATAGAGGGCAAGAAATGGTACAGGATTGGTCCCTGCACTTGATCCAATGTTAATGACATAACCACACCTCTTCTTTAACATGCAGGGCAAAACAATTTCAGTCATTTTAGCTACTGATGTGCAGTTCATGTGTAACATGTCTTGAACAAAAGTAGGGGAGTCCACATCTCCAAAATATTCAGGATATTCATAAGACATGCCTACGTTGTTGACTAACACACTAATGTCCAGATTCTGTAGCTTGGATTTTATATCCTCGTATATATTTCCTTGAGTAAAGTCTGCTGCTATGATGAGGGTCTGGACTTTATATTTTTCCTCTATTTCTTTTGCCATGTCAGTCAATCTTGACAGAGTCCTGCTAATGAGTACAACATTAATGCCTCTTGCAGCAAGCTGTTCTGCGTAGGCCTTGCCGATACCGTCAGTGCTGCCAGTGATTACTGCCCATGAGCCGGCTTTCTTTAGATTTGCAGACAGTGGAAGAATTTTAGATACAAAGTGAACACTTAGGAACCGGAATAGTCCAACTGCTACCTTGAAAGCTATTATTCCAGTAGTTAAGGCTCCGATAAGTCCAAATATATCAGACGAGCTACCCAAATAATGTTTCAGCATTTTTCTTTTCTAGATCTAGATCTAGATGGAATTTGGCGTCTCTTCTTTCGTTTCACCAATGTCAAAATTGTTTCGTATAGTCACGTGATTTTGTAGTGTCGTCAAGACGAGCTCCGGGCTAAATAAGTGCATTAGAATAAATTCGACTTTTAGCCTAATTAGCTTTACTTGCCGAAGGCGCAGACAGGATTAGTAAGTAAGATCTACCAATAAAGTAAAATATTGTCCGCTTTAATAATTACACTCATATCCATACGGGAAGCTTATTTTTTAATTATTACATATAATTAGGCTAAATAAAATTATATGGCCCACGGTGGTATTAAAGGTATTTCGTTACTCAAAACAATATTCTCAATTAAAATTAATTGAAATGCCAATAGGGCTTATCCGTTCAAGTTCCTAAATAAGACATTTACAGTCTATGGATATATATATATAATTATATATATATATATATATATATATATATATATATATATATATATATATATATATATATATATATATATGTATATGTATGTATATATATATATATATATATATATATATATATATATATATATATATATATATAATATTTTTAAAAAACCATGAAAAGAAATAAACTGGTTTTAGTAAGTGTATTATTTGCATTGGAAATTAGCCGACTTGAGCTTACGGAAGATGCTGGCAGAGGTGTAATTCTTTCAGGTGAGCTTGTGTTCCCGATCTTGTTTCTGAACATGATGGCCAAGATTGATGTTAATAATGGACATGTAGGCCTAATACTCTTAAAGGATTTTTTTACTTTCTCGTATATACGAAATATAGAGAAAGTATTGTAATCGTGTACAAAAATAACATGAAATTTTGACAGTTTTCAACGTTTTACTCCTCAGTCCTTCATCACATCCGGAGTATAGAGGACTTATTTTAATCAGGCAAAAATTATAAATACAAATATATAAACGTTTTGGCGTTTTATGCGTTATCGAGTTGTAAAAACTGGACTTTGCAATTCTGTCCGTATGTCTGTGTGTCTGTCTGTGTGTAAACACGATAACTTGAGTACCGTTACAGCTAGGTTGAGGAAATTTCATATATAAGTATTTTATCAAAATCGTAGATCCTTATCAACTTTTGGGCGATTTTCGATAACCGGAAGTGGTACTTTTTCTTCTTTGAATTTTTCAAAAGCTTATAAGTTGCGTACTATTTTAGATAGATGCATGAAATTTCACTTGTAAGTAAAAGATCTAATTTTCTACCTTCTGTCAAATTTTGAGTAATTTTCGTTGACCAAAAGTACTAATTTACGCTATTTCCGATTTCTCAAAAAACGCATGTAAATTTATAAAGTACTAATAATATCCCGCACTTTTATACACATTTTATTAGGCGTTCACTTGGTGTGGGACGGAGTGGTCTAGCGGTAGAGAGCTGGACTGCTAAACCGTTAGTCTCGAGTTCGAATCCGAGTTAAAGTCAGTAGACCGTCCCTGAGTCCACCCAACTCTGATTGGTACCTAACTCACGTTAGGGAAAGTAAAGGCGGCTGGGCATAGTGCTGACCACAATATCTCTTCATATGCCGAGGTCACAGAAACAAGTGAACTCTACTTCACTTGCCCCATAGACCGTCAGGATTGAAAGGGAAACTTTTCACTTGGTGTGCACTTCTTTTTTCTTTTACGAGATTCTATTCTATTATAAAAAGTTTAAGTAATTAAAAATGGATCTATGTCATGAGTTGCCATCCCTCGTAATTTTATATTAGAATATTCGAGAAAGTTTAGGGGAAATCACTCACGGTTTATTTGTAATGTGCACACTGCGAACTAGTAAAATATCAGACCGCTTTTAGGATACTAATTGTGTACTGTAATTGTAATTAAATTAAATTTTACCAAAATAAATTTTTGTTACAATTAGCTCAACTTACCAAATTTTGTCTACCAGTAGATAGGCTTTTATTATAGTAAGTCGAACGCAGTAATCAGCTTCCTTGCTTGGTGAATCTAACCGAATGGAATCGGAACCAATATTTCCTATATTTATAGAGAACACAATACTTTGTACGCTAATAATAAAGCTAATTACAGATAAATATTTTATTAGGCAAAGATTGACACATGAAAAAATTTGCAGAGGGTAGGGTGAAACCAAAATGAGGAATGGCAAATGTTTTGTCACGATGTTGACAACTGAGCTTTGATAAATGCATAATTTAAAACATGCGATACTATCAGACGCGATGATGGTCAGGGAAAGGATGAAAATACTCAATGTAGTTAGGGGTCATCCATAAATGACGTCACGCTTTTTTGGACGATTCCCCCCCTCCCCTCCGTCACACATCGTCACAAAAAGCCAGACCCCCCCCCTAAAATGACGTCACACCTCAGCCTACAACCGCCCCTCAAAATTGCAGTTGAATTTTTCTTTAAGCATCGATATTTTTCCTAAATCTTGTCTGAACTCTGTCAAAATAGAGTATTTTAATCAATTTCCATTGCAATCTATTAAATCTGTTTTCTAAAACGCGAAATAACGTCTAAAATTCGTTTTCTAACATTGCTTTTTTATAATGTAAAAGTGCGACGTCGCACCATCTGAACCCCCCCCCCCCCTCTCCCCCTCGTCACACATCGTCACAAAATGACGGACCCCCCCTCCCCCCGGTGAATGTGACGTCATTTATGGACGACCCCTTATCATTATCTTTAGGTCATCATGCCCCATGAACAGATCGATGCCAAATCATGACATAATGAGGTGGGGAGGTGCCACGACGATAATTGCATTTGGGGAGTCGTAGTAACAACCATTTTGGCAAACGTTGCTTTTGGGTAAAATTTACACACACTGCTGGCAAACTGTGAGTTTGTTGACATTTCGCCCCTCAAACCCAAACCTCACAAAGAACACAATTCTATACTGCAAATAAAAATGTCAAGTTTCGATCGAAACTCAAATAGAGTATCGTGGTTTTATATATATATATATATATATATATATATATATATATATATATATATATATATATATATATATATATATATATATATATATATATATATATATATATATGTGTGTGTATGTGTGTGTGTGTGCGTGCGTTAAGGGTGATTGATTGATTAAATTATGATTCAATGTAAATTTAGACTTCCAAATTTCAAACAATATAACTACACAAGAAACCAGTTATCCTACTCATCTAGTTAGCCTAAAAGTCTTTTAAAACGTGTGTCTAACCTGTTTTATTTATTAAATGTTAGGCCGGGGCCAAAGGTTATGAGTGTTTTACACTATATAAACTGTAACTAACAACAAGTTCAATTAGTGTACGCCACTCCACTAGAGGCTTGGTACTTGAAGCATGAAGTAGATCTAACTGCTGGTTTGAATTTCAGGCCAATTAATGTAGTACAGTGGCGTAGCGAGGTCGGGTGTCACCCGGTGCGGCACTTTCAAACTTTCAATTTTCGATTTGCAACCCCCCCCCCCCCCTCAAACTTTCGATTTGCACCCCCCCCCCCCCCCCTCAAACTTTCGATTTCCACCTCTTAAAAGACTATTTAACAGTCGGTTTAATCGCTTAACTAAGTGGAATTTTCATTTTTCTATATATATATTTTGCTATTTTTTTGCCTTGGTGTCACCCCCCTAAATAGTGTCTCCCGGTGCTGTCCGCACCCCCGCCCCCCCCCCCCCTCTACGCCTCTGATGTAGTTTGGAGTTTCTACCATTACTTGTCTATCTCTGTTGAACAAGAACACGATATCAACAAAAAATTATCTTTCGGGCACAGCTGTGGACATGGTCGGGTGGCTGCGAGGAGGGGGGTGGGGTGGGGCGATGGAGGCAAAAGTACTTTCATCCGTGCAATATTGAATATGAACCAGCTGACAAACTAATTAACACATGACCGTGTCGGTCTCTGGGACACAGAGCTGCGGCCAAACCAAGGGACGTCGTATGTATGACGGTATACGCAGGTAACTTCTTTTCTTCTTTCTTGCTATTCCTTAGTCGTTGTGGGTAGTATAGGACCAAGGCGACATGTCACTAACGAACTTGATTGTTGACTTTTTTTACCGCCAGCTATGACAATTTGGCTATACTACCCCTCCCTTTCATAAAGACCTCATTCGTGACATTGTTGGACGCATCTTTTATTATTCAATATATATATATATATATATATATATATATATATATATATATATATATATATATATATATATATATATATATATATATATATATATATATATATATATATATATATATATATATATGTGTGTGTCTGTGTGTGTGTGTCTGTGTGTTGAAATTTTCGGGTGGGGGTGGGTGGGTGGGGCGGTAGACTTTCTTCGGGGGGGGGGGGTGCGGACACTGTTAAAAGTATATATTTTCTATGTAAATTTTATAAATTTCATTTCGTTCGGGGGGGAGGGGGGAGGCGGTAGAATTTTTTCCCCGAAGAGATGCCTGGAAGAAACTCTGTGTGTGTCTGTTTGAATAAGTAGTGACACAATAGCATGCATATCGTCACAAGCTGTAGCTATACGCCTCTGTAACCAAGGACAAAATCTAGTTTGTTACAGTTTTTGACACATCATATTATTCATATCGCATAAGACCAGATATGAAGGCATATATTTTCCTAGTAGGCCTACATACTTACGTTATCTTTTGATCAACTTACTATTGTTTAATGAGCAGATGCAGACAATATATTGTGGGCATACATTAAGGGAGATGAAAGGTAGACTATACAAACTACAAATAGAGGTGTTTGGAGATAGGAGTGAGTGGTGACGTACTACATCCGACATGACCCCAACAACATTAGCATGATTTCGTTATTTTTTTTTTTAAATTTGTACGCCTATCGTTTAGCGTTATATTAAGATCATATAGTTTAAATTAATCATGTATAATCAAAAGCATTAGAAGTGATTTGATTGTTTTCTACAGTGTCATATTGAACTTTTTTAAACGATGTAATCAATAAAGTAAGA